TAACAGCGACAAATGTTAGGCAGCGTTCCGTCGCGAAGTCTGAACGCTGCCTAACATTTTAGAGTCTAACCAACTAGGGCTTGGCAGCCTAGGCTGTACACTGTTTCAACAATCCTAAACTACAACAGTGCCCTCCAAATAATTCTTACAACGACAGTGGTCAAGTCCAGGCAGTGTACAAGTTCAGGCAAATAACTATCCTGTATCTGAAAGATTACTGTTCTACTATTATAGAGAGGATAGGATGTGTAGCCTTGTTCGCCGTGGGCGAAGGGGCGTGAGTTGGCCCGGAGCTAAACTAAATTTCCACCATTTGCTGAAACAACAGCAAGCGACAAGACTGTACCATTTCCGTTTGCGCCAGTAGTTTTCTAGCGACTGTTGCCCTTACCAGCTTCAACAACTGGTGGAAGAGGACAAGACTTCTTCTATATCGTTATTCCCACGTCGCAGCATCACGCGCAGACGTGGAGTGTTTCCTGGCCAGTTAGCGTGACGCAGCACGGCAACTTCAGTCGGGCGGATTCTGATGTGAAAGAGCCCCTCACCTGCAACGACTTTTCCACACCCGTTATCGGACTAACGATTCATGCCAGAGAAAATGTAGTGCTGAACCACCGCTGTTTCTCCAATCGGAAATCTTATAACTTAGCTCTGTGTCAATATTAACTGTCACAAATCTAAACGGGTTTGTGAATAACATCGCATTGTGTCTACTTCAGCTCTTTAGGTTCCCTTGGCCGAATTCGAGAACAACGACAATGCTGATCCTTTCGCTCTCAAAGAAATACACCTGAATGATGAAGTTTTTCATCGACTCAAACACGTGCATATAAACGCAATCGGTTTCGAACTTGCAAAAATATTGGCTGATATAAAAGAGGATGAGGAGGTAAACTCACTGAATTCTAAATCATGTTTGTATCAGATGCTGAGAAACTCTTTCTCATAGTAGCAAATGTCTGATTTCAGTTTGACCGAGACCGGATGTCCGTGGCTGAATATCAAGTCCTCGTGAAGAAAATGCCTCAAATACTATTGCGGAAGAAGCTTTGCAGTGTACACATGAGACTAGCCGAAATGGCTCGTGCGCAGCTTTACGAATCATTTGCTGACTATATCCGTGTGGAGAAAGGTACTTCACAAGTTTATAGATACCGTATCAAGAAATAGTTCAAGTAGCCGTTGTTAGAAGATCAAAGTTGACCCATGAACAATTAGTTCTCTCTGGCCTCGGAACAGCCAGTGCTTGAGAAATTGGAACTAAATATCGGCAAAATCCAGCGACGGGGAGGGGGCAGTTTGCTTTTTCGCTGGTTTACTAGTTCCGGTTTTCTTTGCCGGTGAATCGGGGCGTCGTAGGGTGATTTCCTGTGCTCCTACCAGCAAGTGGTTGCACACCGAATCTGCTGATTGGGCTTGCCGACGTCAGACAAACGCCCAAGGCGCCCACTGCCAAGCCAAGAGTCTCTGCTCAGAGCGTTCCCAAAGTTTTTTCGCTTCTTTCTCTACTGGGAAACACTTATGGTTTAATGGTTCATGGTTGTGCACCTGCTACCCGTAACACTTGATCGCGGGAATTATCTATAAGGGGCAACGTTGCCAGGGGCCGACGATTCCCAACATTCTGTTTATCTTCCTTGTTCCAACCATTTCAGAGCAGATCCCATTTTATCTAAGGTCTAGACGAAGAGCACAATGTGCTGAGCTACAGTTTTTATTGCAGAGCTACTCGAGTCTGCTGCAAGCGATAAAGTACACCCATTCATTGAAGAGGCCATTATCAGCGGCGATGATGTGAACATTTCAATTCGATTGGTCGCCACTCATGCGCTTGCGGCTAACGGACTCAAGCCCAGTGTTCTTCTTCAATATAGGCGCATGATCATGCAGGTATGGATTAGGAACTTTGAGATAATATCTGCAGATCTTATCGGGTCATATGAAAACTATAATTAGGGATAGTCACTCTAATGTTTCCTTTCGCCTTATCTTTCGGTGCGCGGGACGTAGTCAGGTACGCCCCGTGAACCACTCATCAAGATAGGGATCCCAGACCCGGTCTTGGTCGAGCGTAAAGAAGCAGAAGTTCGCGCGCCTCTTCTCGGGAAACAGGGAACCGCTCTCATGGTTAGCCACGCCACGGGTTCTCAACCATAGTAGCGTCGATCATTCCGGATAACGTTGAAATGTTACTGTGAAAAAGGATATGATTGCGTGCCAGGGTCAAGCGTGTGTCGCGGAATCCGTACAAGGGGTCGTATATAACATGCCCTTAGATAAGTGGGTCGTGTAGACAGGTGCCAGTAACGAAGTGAGAGTGGCAACACAAGTGGAACACTGTTCCTGCTTTTGAACCTTAACGTAGAGCGCATATTTCTGTCGCGTTGGAATTCATAACAAATTAATTTAGTGTAAAGGAAGCTGTAACGGAAGGAAAGAGCTACAGTTTACGTTCGTCTAAATGTGACAAGAAGGCATCACCTACTTGAGACAGTTGTTTGGACTGAACTAAATCCATATTCTTTGGATCCTTATAGAAATCGATTGGGAATGGAAGGCAAGTGCCTGACAGTTCTTTTTAGAGGCTCAGTGCCCCTTCTACTCAACTCCTGTTTATCTCGACTAAAAGCAGGAAGCAGGGCACATTATCGTTGATTCCCAAACAGGGGCGTCGTATTTGGTCGCTCGGGGAGGGGAGGGGGGGGTCGTGTTTGATCTGAGAAAATTTTTATGGTTCATTTCTCTTGTTTCTGACGTGAATTGAGGTATTCGAACAGATCGAAATGCAGACAAGTGAAGTCACCGAAAAGTGTCAGTTAAAATACGCTGTTGTCAACCGCGTGTGCAGTTAAGGGGCAGGCAAACGTATATCATCTGATAAGGCGCCTTAGCGTCTTAGTGTGAGCATTTTCGAGCGACTGGGAATATATAGGTGTCGATCCCTCGTTTTAAGCGTCTGCCACCGTTTTCAGCGATAACTGATATCTACGCTTTCTTAGTCGAACAAAACGCCCAGAACGCTGACAGACGCTCAAAATGCCGAAGAAATGTATGAAGGCTTCCTAAGACGCCAGACAGAGAAAGGGGGTAGCTGAGGAAAAACGCCACAGTGTACGACGTCATTATTCTGTCCTGTGTCATTTCAGAAGCTGCAGTTAGTTAAA